ATGAGTATTTGATCTCTTCTCTGCTTTCTACTTTTGTAAATTGTTTCAAGCCCAATATGTACTTTTTCTCCTCCACCGTTGGAATCAGCCATTTCTCAAAGTCTCTTTGTTTATTTAATTGGGGAATGGTATTTAGAGATCAATAGCTAAGACCAGGGATGCTCATTGCAAAGGTTACTTCTTATTTCAAACTCTTTTCAATGAGCAAAGCTAAGTAAGGAATATTTTATTAAAGAGAAAATGGATCATGAGTTTATTATATTGAAATTTTAATTTCAAAATCAAGTCTCGGTGGTTTTTACTTAACCTCATCTTATCTTTATTAACCTTATGCCCAAACTCCTGGTTCCCAGTGACACCAGTGTAAGCATTCATTTGCTTTTGTAGTAGATGCTGCCCAGATCTTCCCCTTCAGGAACAAGGTACTCCTTCCCCCATCTGCTGGAAATGTTGCCTGCTGATGCCTCACACAGAGTCCAGTCCTGGGTATTGCCTTCAGCCAAAGGATACTGCCTTGGTCAAGGCTATCCATCCTCCCCTATGTAGCACGGGGCTACAAAGGTGTGGTTCTCTTGACTCAGTTTGGGACATCTCTAAAAGGACCATGGTAGGTTAAGAGCTCCCAGTGAGATCAACCAAGATTTCTCTTGCAACTGCCTGACATCTGACAAGCCAGCTTTTCCCTTTGCCCAGTCCTGCTTCCTTCAGTCCCTTACAGATATTTTTTTATCTTCATAGAGACAGCCTTGTGTATAGACTGAGAGTGCTCTCTTACCAATGACATGCATGCAAATCTCACAAGAGTCTCAGTCTATTCAGCAAAGAATCTAACCTATAATAGCTTTCTTTTCCCAATACATAGTCAGTGCTACAATAATACCACTAACATTATTGCAAACAATGTAATCACTGAAAACAATTTAAAATTACTTGCTTATATTATTTTTATTTTATTTTGTACAGTTCTTTTTCTATTTAGGTTACATCTCTTGAGGGATATACTGTCTAATTGCTATTTTAAAATCACTTGAAATAGTTCCTCTCTATATGGTTATGCCAGTAACTCAATATACAGGTAAGTTCATTCGGTTCATTTGCTTCTTATTTTTAGAGGTATTTTTAAAGTTTTAAATTTATTTTTTAGTTGTGTAAAATATTTACATAATTCCTATGTCAACTATAGAAAATGATGTATATTTTCAGAAGTCTAGCTTCTGTCATTATTTTCTCCACGCTTCATCATGTGTGAACTCTTTTTAAAGTTTTTGGCTTATTCTTCCATTGCAATTTTTGTATTTTAATATGAACAGTACTCTGTGTGTGTGTGTGTGAGTGTGTGTACATCCTTGCTGGTGTCATTGATGAATTGGTAACATAATTATGCATTTTTCTCTTTCTTTCATTTTCACTTGAAAATATCTTGGGAGTCATTCCACTGAAGTATATAGAGGTATTCCTCATTCTTTTTTGTAGTTGCATATTACTCCATTGTTTGGATATTACATAGTTTATTCAACCAGTCTCCGTTTGGGTTGTTCCCAGTCTTCTGCTCTTAATAATACTGTAGTAACTAGCCTTTTGTATAGACTCTTAGAAGAAAGATCGCTGGGTCAAAGGGCAAATTTTCTAAAAATTGACTTATTTCCTGGGGTTGTATCATTTCTCAGTTCCCAGCAGTGATGTATATGAATGTCTGTCTCCCTAACCATGCCAAGAATGTGATATAAGTCCTAAATCTAATAAGTAAAAAGATAGTACTGTCCTATAGTTTGAATTTGTACTTTTCTTTCATGAGGGAAGTTGAGAATCTTATCATATGTTTACAGGTCATTTGCATGATTGAATATGGCTCATCATACTACGTTCATACTCGCTAGTAAGTTGGAAAGATAAGAAGAAATGGAGGGCTGGCAGATTCTTTTTTTAAGAACTTGACATATGAATTATACCTCATCACTTTCACTTTCTATTATAAGAGAGACTAGGAAATGAAATTTGCAGCTGGGTGAACATGAGTCCCATTAAAACTTGAAATAGCGTGAATATACTACTATCTAGAGGAGTAAAGGGTGACACTAGGGAACAGTTAGCAGTTTCTGTCACACCATCTTGTTTTAAGAAAACCCACACTACCATAGCCCTACATGATCTTTGTCCTCATCTCCTACTGTTCTCCCTTTTACTGACCTTCTTGCTGTTTCTCGAAAAAAAGCAAGCATCCTCTCAGTGGGTCTATTTGGCCTTTCCCCTGACTGGAATATTCTCCAAGAATCTATGGCTTAAATCTCTCAATTTAGATTTCTGCTCAAAAGTGAGGCTTTCTTGAACACTGATACTAATACCCTTTCCCCACTACTCTCCTTTGCTTTTCTTCTTAGAACTTACCATCATCTGACATAATAAACATGAAATCTTTGCTTAGATTTCTCATGTTTTCCACTCGCTGACTAATAATAAACCCTTTATCATGCTCAAACATGCCAGGCACCATCTTGTCTGTGCTTTCCATATATTTAAACCGAATTCTCACAGCAACCCTTTGACTATTCTCATGCTATTGCTGCATAACAAACCTCATCACAATTATAAGGCTTAAAACAATATTTTTATTTATTATTAAAACAATTATTTATTATTGTTCCTGCATCTTTGGATTGACTGAGGGTAGATCGATCTAGACAAGGCTGAGCTGGAGTTGCCTCTGAGCTACAAGCTGAGTAGAAGTTGGTTCCTTGCACCAGCACACTAGCTGGGGATGTTCTCATGACAATGGCAGAGGCACTAGAATGGAAACCCTACCCTGCAAAGATATTTCAAGCCTCTGTTTGTGTCTGTCTGTTAACATCCCATCGACAAAAGTCATATGGCGAAGTACAACTGCAATTGAATAGAAAAGTGTACTCATCTTTTTAAGGGGGGAGAGAATATTTACTGAAAAATCCTTAGGCCTGCCATTTCATTCTTCCTATTTTAGATGAGGAAACTGAGGTACCTAGAAGGTAAGTAGCTGGCTAAGATCACCCATTTAGTTCCTTGCAGAACTGGAAGGCAAACGCAGTTGGTATAGCTCCTGTCTAGCCAATTTAAATCTAATTTATACCAGCAATGTGAGTCTAGGAACTTAGTCTCTTATACTTCCAGTACCTAGAATAGTTTTTGGCACTTAGTTGGCATTCAATAAATACTCGTGGAGCAAATAAATGTGGAGCACAGTATTTGACCCTAGATTGGTTGGTACTTGATACATGTTGGCTATTATTATTAAGAAAAATTACCCAAAATTGGGAATAAGGTAAAAGAAAGGCAGCTGTCTTTTCAGTGTCATATTGGAACATCATTTAACTGGGCCTCCAAAGGATTACTTAATTACCTAGGCAAATATACTTTTTGACTCATTATCTACTCTTGATTACAGATGCAAGCTCTATGAAGTTGTAATTTTATTTATAGATTTTCATTCATTACAGATGTGAATTATTTCTGAAATACAAATTATTTTAAAAAAAACAAAAGTTAAAATCATAGTGCCCTAGAAGATGTTAAGGATATTGTAGCTATTCTAGCAACCTTATTCCAACAGTGTCTCCCCACTGAAGACTGGAAATCTCATTCTCAAATTCACCTTGGAAGCAACTTCACCATTTCATTTGTCTCCTCAATGATGAGTTGAATTAATCTTTAACATGTCTTCATTGTATATTTTGAGTTACATATTTAACTTTTTAAAATTTGTACTTTAATATTAGCATTATTACCTGATCTTTTTCTGCTGAATCTGAAAGTGGTTTTCGCTTTCAATTTAATTCAACTCTTAATTCACAGAGTTTCTGTTTCTTTGGGGTAGGGGAATGTAAAGCTGGAATACAAGGGTGAGAGAAGACACTAAGAAGCATTTTAAGGTGTTTGCAGCAATTCTCAGACTTACAGACCAGCCGCTGGAGCCCCAAGGATTGCCATGGGCCATACAAAGCAGCCTTGACAGCCTGAGGTCATTATAAAGCTTTCCGGAAGCCAGTGTTAATTCAAGATTCTGATCATACAAGTAGAAAAGTTTATAGATGGTTATCAGAGAAAATTAATGTCCTGAAAAGAAAAATTGTTGAAGCTCCAAATCTTGCTGAAAACACCTTTTTACCAATAATCAGTTGTATAATGGATATAGGACAACACTCCATAGCTCCTGTGGGAGGGATGGGGGTTGAATTTTTTATTTTGATATGAACAAAGGGGACAGACTTGAAAAAGTTTAGTTCGAGGACCCCCTCAGGATTCTGGCTACTTCAGATATTGGAATTCCCTTAATAGTCTCAACAAATGTCCTTAACAGACCCTATTGAAATCCCATTGCAATATTATGGGATTTTTAATTTGGAACTTTTCTCCCTTGACCTTTTCCTCTTAGATGGAACGAGAGGTCTACTACATATTTTCACAACACTTTGTAGTTTACAAAGAGCGCTAAGCATTGTGTTACTGGGCATATTAACGTTCCAGTAGGTAAGGATGAGAATCAGGACTTTGAGTACCTAGATCTTGGATTTTCACAACTGGGAAGTGTAATTGCCAGGTTGGCTCTTTTCTGGTAATATTCGGACAAACTTAAGCAAGGTGAATACAGGCCCACAGCGCTGGGCCTGAATTCGGGTTCCACCTTCTTGTTGCTTACCCACTTTCTGACTTAGTTCCATTGCCCATGAACTGACCTTGGGAACCCCGCCTTTTTATGGATTATATGAATTGAGGTGGAAGATTTAGCACAGAGCTGGACACAAGAAAACACTAAACCACAGCAGTTAATCAGTGCTGAGTTGTTACTGTCCCTCTTGGGAACCTCACGGAGGTGTCCAGCCAAAGAGCCGGAGGGCAGTGGAGGGAGCCCACCGAGTGGCTCTGACCCGCCGAGGACACACGCCTCCCGAGCCGCGAGAGCAGGAAGGCACTTCTCCGCCCCCAGTGGGCTGGGGCGGGGCCGCCGTTCCCCGGGAAACGGGACGCGCAGCTCTTCCTGGGCCCGGTCCTCGGTCCGCTGGGCTCGCACTGCGCGCAGCGCCGGCTGCCAAATAGCTGCAGGTGTAGGGCGAGGGGCAGCGTTCACGGCAATCGAGGGAAGAGGTGGGAGCCTCCCAGGGCGCGTGTGCGGAGTGGGCGTCTTCGCCCACCTGGGGCTGGGCAGGGCGCGCGCCTGGAGCCGGCCAGCCCCGCGTCCCTTCGGCCGTGCCCGATGGCAGCCCCGGAGGCACGAGGCTTCCGGGAAGTCCCCACCGCTGCCCTAACCCCGGGCGCCGGCCTGGAGTCGGAAGGCTTGGTGGACCTGGAGGAGGAGGAAGAGGAGGAGGAGGCGGCAGCGGCCCGGAGAGCGCGGAGTTTCGTCCAGGACGCGCGGGTGCGCTTGCTTGGCGGCCGCCTGGAGCAGATGCTGGGGCTCCCGGCGGACAAATGGAGCCAGCATTTGGAAAGCGAGGACCACCGGCAGGTCCTGGGGGAGTTTCTGGAGGGCCCCAGTCCCGCCCGCCTTGTGTTCAGCATAGCCGCCGGGCGGCTCTCGGCCTCCCGGGAGGTAAGGGATCACGGGCGCGGGGAGCCGACCACGCTGCACGCCCAGCATAACGGATACCGAGCGGCGGGGGGCGGGACAGGCCGGTCCGTGGCGCACTCATTCTGGCACTTTAGAAACTTTGAAGTTCCTGCCCTGGAGTCCGCAGAATCCTCCAGGTGCTTCCACTCTGTAGTTAGGCGGCTGGAGGTTAGTTTTCTAAAAGGTCAGCTTTTGAGCTTGTTGCGCCCAGACAAAGCAGGGAAAGCTACGTTTCTTTCAGCTGCCTGGGCGTTAGGTCCAAGGTGGTTTCTCTGCCAGATAACTTCCGTTTAAGTGTCCCTAGGGTCGGTCACTCTGCAGACAAATCCTTAAAAAAAAAAATGTGTTTGGCAGAGCCCGCGCAACTTGTCATGTGCTCAGTCTCACTGCCAGTCAGCCACACTTCATCCCAAGGGAAAAATACTTAGTCCTTATAGAAGGAGTTCGCCGGGCAATCTGTGCACATGGTGTTACGCATATAGAGGCAATCCTTCTTTCCTCTTTCCCTCTTTTCCTCTTTCCCTTCTTTCCTTTCCCTCTCTTCTCCTTCATTTAGACTGCTCATCCACTTTAAGGTTAACTTACTGCCTGCAAGTTAGCATTTGTCTTTAACATGTTTCAGGTGTGAAAAACTTGGAGCAAAATTGAGGGCTGTATAATACCTCAGTGTAATGTTTGTGAAGTGTCATTACCATCACTAGCAGTGGACATTATAGTAGTTGGGAAGTGGAATCCCAGAGAAGAAAGAGAATACAGGAGCTTGCTTTAGGGTTTGGTGGGTTTTTTAATTTTTTTGTTTCGCTGTTTCCCTAATTATAACTAATGCTTTAAAAAGTTTGAGTAAACAGGGAGCTAGAACACAACTCTAGTTTTACCCAAGTTAATCATTATGATATTTGAAGAAATGACTCAGTGGTTATGGAAATATTAGAATAGCTCTATTAAATACTTATACTCTTTGACTCGATAGAAATACAAATTAACTCTTATGCCTGGTCTTTATATATCTTGATTGGAAATTTGGCTTATTTCCAAACAAGAAGTGATTATTGAAAAAGAATAACCTTTGCTAAGATAGAAACATCCTAAGTGCTCCTTATATTTGTTTTTAATTATGAAATACTATAGTATATAATAAGATTGCATGTAATTACATGACCTTTAAAGGTGATACTTCCACACCAGTAATGCTGTGAAATTAGTATTATAAAAGAAAAAAGAAAACTGTATACACTTTTCAGAATGGGGAAAACTAATGGAACAACATTATTTGTAAAGGTAGGCAAGATGCCAGGTTCTGTTTCTTCGGCTAGCAATCCAGCTGTAAGTTAGAGTAAATCCTGCTTGTTAGTATGAAAACTACATGTGAACTGAAACTAATTATCTTGCTTGTGTTTCAGATTCCAAGAGATGCAAAACATAAACTTGTCTATGTTGTCAAGAAGATTACTGAAAGCATTGGAGTAAATAGTTTCTCTCAAGTGGTTTTATTTGGGGCATTACCTGCCTCAGCTCTTGGACATGTAACTGCTTTCCTAGATGAGGTACTAGTCTGTTTTATATATTTGAATCTTTAATTTATCTCTGTGACATGTGGAATTATTCAAGACAACTCTGGCTATTATAAAAAAGAATGTGGAAGCCAGTAATCTCTGGCCAGTGGATGGAGTGTGATGGTGTTTAGACTTCCTGAAATGAACTGATACTGATGCTAATACTCAACAGGATGCTAATTTGTAGGATCATCCTTTTCCTCTGTTCCTAAATAATGGAAGTAAATAAAAATCAACTTAAATTGAATTGTCTCTTGCAATTAGCTATAGGTTTTAAACTTCATGGCAGAGGAGAGACAAACTTACACTGGGAAATGGGTATTACCAGTTTTTATATTCCTGTCTCTTAGTGTCACTCATGTCAGAAAAGATGAAACAGTGTTAGAAATGGTTGCCTTGAAATTCCTCTTTCTCATGCCTTAAATAAGATAAATGTTCTCTAACCCCATGTTATTGGCATTAGAACCACATGGGAATTATGGTATAGTCAGGCTGTTTCAGAAGGTCTGAGGTGGGGCCAATATTCTGCATTTCCAACCTGATGCTGACAATGCTGTTCCTGGACCAGCTTGAAGGAATAACATACCAAATGATGAGGTTTCATAGAACCTGAGTGGTGGTTCTCAAGCTTTGCTGAACATTAGAACCACCTGGGGAACTTGCTAACATGCTCATGCTTAAGTCAGAATGTCGCCATGGAGTACTTATAGTTGTATATGGGAGGCAGCAGTGTTAGAGTCTAGAGCGATCCAGGTGATTCTAATGTGCCCCTAACTTTGGGAACTTCTGGGTGAGATGTACGTAAATCATTCCAGTAATCAGAGCAACTCTGCTAAGGCCAGTACTTAAGGTAGGAATAATTGCCAACCTATTTATTACCAACGGTTTCCCAATCTCCTTCTTCCACACCTCATCTACTTTCCTGAGTCTCTTTTGCTGCCATCTTAAAAGGAGGTTGTGGATAAAATGAGAGTTCCTGTGGCCAGGATTCTCACCTGGCCATGGTTGACTGGCTCACTGCACACGTGTGGGCAGTACATTGCTATGGACTCTATATAAGGAGCTCCGCCCCTTGCTCTGAGCGACATGGTGGCGTGGCTGCAAGGCTGCCGGAGAGCAGAGCAGAGGCTGGAGTGGTAGCAGCACTGAGGACAGAGGCCCAGAGCATGGCTGTGCGGGCAGAGAGGCCCTGAGGCAGAGACTGGCTTGCTGCATGCAGACTTGCTCTGAGTGAACAGGATTTTAGTGACTGACCTGCCACCCTGGAAATTAAGTTGGGTATAACCCTTTCACCCCAAAAACATTCTACTGTCATTTTCTTTGGTCACACTGAATCCATAGCAAACTTGCAGGGGGCTGAAACCCATTGGCAAGACACACCAACATAGGCAAATCTTGTCCATCAGGTAGGATGCATGCAAGAGAGTGGTCCTGTGATAGGACTGTCAGAATGGGGTCCCATCCAGGTTTAGCATACCGTACCTTTACCCATCTCCCCATGGGAGTTGCTGAGGGGTCTGTATATAGTACTACTGGAGGTGGATGCACTGGCCATAATGATAAAACTCTCCAGTAAGAAGCTGCTACCTTCTGGCCATCCAGGATATACTCCTGTGATCTTTGGGAACCACTCTGCTGTTACTCCAGGAATACACAGGAGGCCAGCTTCCAGGCCTTGTCCGCAAGGTGCCAGGAGAGCCAGCCATAGTTGCTCCATGTTTGAAAATGTCCAAGACCACATCCACTCAATGGAGTCTCCAAAAATTAGTACAGTTGTTGCTGGCAGCAAGATAGTCTGGTGGCTGAACTTCGACTTCAACGATTCTTCCTTGGTTTGTACTTGCAGTTGTATATGGGAGGCAGCAATATGCATTATTAGCATGTCTACATGGCTCAGGGCTCCCTTTTGGGTTTCTTGTTCAAAAGCTGTAGCACAGTCCATAAGCAGTAGCACAGTCCCTAAGCAGACTGACCATCCCCACAGACTATTGGTGTCTGACTTCAGTCAGATTTTACAAACCATTGTACCTCTTTATCATGCCTGCCATGGTAGGATTGTATGGCACATGAAACTTCCATTTGATTCCCAACTATCGCACCCATTCTTGTAGTGAATGTCCAGTAAAGTGGGTGCCTTGATAACTCTCAGTTACCTGTGGCATAGGCTGCAAAGAGATGCTCCAGGCCTCTTTTGATCGTCTGTTGGTATGTATGCACAAAGTATAGGAAAAGCAACCAGAAGTCCAGTAGCTCTGTCACATGTCATGGCATATTGGTACCATTCTGACATAGGGAGAGGCCCAATATAGTCTTCCACCTGAGGCAGGGTAACGGCCTCTTAGCTATTGTCCCATGTTACTGTGGAACTCGGTATAAGTCCCTTTTAGAGTATAGGGTGCACTCCTGCTGGGCTCTGCTGACTTCTTCAAAGGTCAAAGGCAAGCCCCACTGATGGGCTACAGCCCACATTTCTTTTGCCCCATGTGCAACAAATGCTGATGTAACCAGAGGCAGGCTTTCCTTTTAGCCAACGTACCTGGGCCAATTCATCTGTTTCATCATTTCCTGGGGATGCCAGTGGCAAATGACCTGTTACATGATATACTGTAACTGTTTTAGTCTGACCACAAGCCCATTAAGTCTTGCCACAATTCTTTCCCCCAAAGGGGTTGGTGACCAACCAACCAGTTGGCATGGTACTATGTTGGTAGCCACAGGGTCAAGCCCCGATAGACAGCCCAGCTATCAGTACAGACAACTATTGGGGAGAACTGTTGGGTGAATATGAGCCATACTGCCCGCACTCTGCCCATTGATCATCTTCCATCCATATTGTCTTAGTCTTGAGATAGAAATATATAGCCCTTCATTTTTGGGGCTGCCCATGGCTGGAGCCATCTGTATACAATGCACTTTTGAGTATAGGGGCTCTTCCCTCCCAATAAGGACTCTCTGCTACTAATGGTTCTACAGTAAATTCTTCCTGATTTTCATTAGTATATGTCACCAGCCTCAATAAGCATTGGAGTTCTTCACTCAATGGGCTACTAGGGAGGTCACTATGCTGCTGTAGGTAAGCACCCCACCTGGCCAGTGTGAGCGTTTGTGCCACACCACTCCTTGGCTTTTGGGTCCGTCTCATACCCACCCCATGAGGGGTAGGTGTTTATTACCTTTTTGGAGGCCATCCAAGTGATGGGTTCTGTAGCCATCAAGATGTGATACATGGCAGCCAGTGGTTTTTCTATCAAGGTGTATCATACCTCTGCCCCTTTCCAGAATTGTAACCAGAATCCAATAGGTTGGCAAGTTTGTTCAAGCCATTACCAGAGGCCCCAGCCATAACTGCCTTCAGTCACATGAACATCCAGCTCACAGGGCCTTAATGGGTCTATCACACTCAAGGCCTGCACAGCCATGACTGCCCGTTCTGCTGTAGTAAAGGCAGATGCACATGTCTCATCCCAGTCCCACCTGATGCCCTTTCATACCAACTAGTAGAAGAGCTTCAGAATTTGTGCTAAATGTGGGATAAACATTCTCCAGTAGCCTAGAAGACTCAAAAATTCCTGTAACAATGCCACAGTTGTAGGTATAGGAAAGGCCTGGACTTTATCTATGACTGCTTCTGGTATAACTTTAGTCTTACTGGACCAAATGACCCCCAAGAATTTGACTGACAAACCAGGTCCCTGAACCTTGGTGCTGTTCACAGCCCATCCTTTCTCCAATAAATGTTGCAGCAGTATAGGTGCTGTATCTTCTAGATCTGAAAGAGAATCAGATGTGAGCATGACATCATCAATATAATGGTACAGCCACACCATTGGCGGTTTCTCCCATGTAGCTAAGTCCTGGGCTATAAGTCCATGAGAGATGGTGGGGCTGTGGAGGTATCCCTGTCGGAGGATAGTGAAAGTCCATTGCCATCCTTCCTATGTGAAGGCAAACATCCTGACTTTCCTGCTAAATGTCAACGGAAAAGAAGGCATTAGCAAGATCTACAACCTAATGGTATGTTCCTAGCTCATGTCTGAGGGTATCCATCAGGTCTGCAACAAAGGGCATAACAGCATGCATGGGGAGAATGACTTTATTCATTTCTCTGTAATCCCTGGTCATACACCAGGAGCCATCTGGCTTTTTTACTGGCCACACTGGGGAATTGAAAGAACTATGGGTGGGCTTTATAATACCCACCTTTTCCAGTTCCTGAAAGGTTTCTCCAGTTTCTTTATGCCCTCCAGGCAATTTGTATTGCTTGGTGTTAGTCACCAGGAGAGGCACAGGCAGAACTATGGGTGGGTGCTTAGCATGTATCCTCAGAACTGCCTTCACCACACATATTCTCAGTCTGAACTCACCTTCAGTAGCCTGCAACCATAAACCCTGCAGGATATCAATCCCCAAAATCTATTCAGGGGTGGGAGAGATATACACAGTATACTCATTTTGGGGTAGACACCCTAGTCCTAAAGGGACTTGGGCTTGTTTCACTCTGATAGCCTTACCCCCATATCCATCTATAATAGTGGGGGTCCAAGGAAACTGCTCAGGGTTACCATAAATCAGTGAACATTCAGCCCCTGTGTCCACCAGAGTCAGGACACATTGTATGTTCACTGGGGACCAATGGATAGATATTTCAACATGTGGCCTCCAGTACCCCCCAACCCTGGTCCCTCAGGGCAGGTACCTCGACCTTACCCCCAATCAAACTGTGTTCCCCAATCATCTTTCTGTGTGGGTTCGACCGAAGTTGGCTCACTCTTCAGCAGTAAGTCTTGCAAACACACAGGCCCGACTTGTGGCTCTGTCTCTGGCCTCTGCCTCTTCATTCTTGTGGCTGGAACTGCTGCTCCAGTTTCAGTTGTTGCCACAACTCCAGTAAGATTCTATTTGACTTCCTATCTAATTTCCATCTGTCTTTTCCTGCCCATATTTAATCAACCCACATTTGGGTCCTTGTAATTTTCATGGGGCCCTCTAAA